TTTTTTTTTTAAAGTTCGAATGTCCATTGTTAAACGGATTTACTTTCCAATTTTATTACTATTGATACAGTTGCATGGTTGATTCCATTTAATTGGCAACTGGGGAAAGAAAAATTCTTAGGATTTACTTTGATAATTGATTGTAGCCTGTGCCTTTTACCGAACACATCTTTTTGTCTGATCAGTATATAAATTATTCTTTTGTTAGTTAGAGCATAGAACCAATGGGAACAGAAAGAAGAACACGGATTGACGCGGAAGGGTGTTCTCTTGATAGAATCTCAAGCCTTTCGGACAATGTTATAGATCATATTTAGGTACACATTCCTACTCGAGATGCAGCAAGAACTAGTATTTTGTGCGGAAAGTGGAGATATATATGGGCTGGACATCCGAACATTGTGCTTAACAAGCAATTTTCAGAAGATATTAGAGGCAATAGATCAGCCATCGAATTTCAACAATACCATGTAAAGACAGTCGGCAAAATACTCTTTCAACACCTTGGTCCTATCCTCCAATTTGATCTTTGACAGGTGCCGAACCTGTGCAATAATAATAAATAAAACCTAACTACCACTTTAAGCAGTCAATAATCAATTCGAGTACTGGAGCAGGGACTCTAGGTGTGCAATGGGTTACTTGATTCACCCTGTTCCCGAAGAATTTGCTTAATCCGATATACCTGAATTAATTATTTAACTGTATACACTAACTAATAGACAGTGGTAAGCAGGGTCGTCTCCTCAGGGACTGGAGAGAAATTTTGTTTCTTTTCAAATCAAGATTAATGGGGGGTTTTGGGATTAAATGCCAACTAAACAAATTAAATGCAGAAAATAATTAATTAAAAGAAATAATTGGGGAAACTCTAGCCAAGGGCACACTTCAGAAATGGTTCATGTACTGATCATCGATTCACAGATAATTCCAACTTTTATTAATAGATTGGTTATAGTTGTCATGCACGCGATAAACAACCAACCCTTCCTTAATTTATCGATAGCTAAGGTACGACCGTTGCTATTTCTCTAACCCAAAAACAACCCTAGGTACGACCGCAGGATTTAATTTTTAGGTTTCATTATTAATTAGAAAGGTCCAATCCTAGCTAACAAACACGCTACGAGGGTTTATTTAAGCTAGATCATATGTTCTCCTGATATAAACCCAATTACGCCTGTTGCTACAAAGACAGAGATAACGAATACTTACGGATTCAATTACCTCTATTTAGCAAAATAGCCTATATGAATAATTAATTATTGCGCACTAACCAATCATACACAAGACTATAGCGATTAAAAGCAAGGAACATGTAAATATCAATAAATGAAGAAAACAATTAACAATGATTTAGATCTCACAGTATTAGTTGAACCAATTCATCAGTTGCTCTCTTGACTAGAAATAGGGGTTTAGTTCCCCATAATTGATGTACAGTCCATGCGGATAAAGTTGGAAGAAACCATCGATTCCTTAATCAAAGCGAACAGAAGAAATTGCCCTTGCTGATTTCGGTCAACCGAGGAAAAGGAAGGAAACAATTGATTATGGCGGTTTTCAATTGTTCTCCTAAGCTAACCGTATAGAGAGTACACACTTTCAATTTCTTCGGTCAAGACCAGAGTGAAAAACAATGGCAAAAGTCCACAATTGCGGCTCTTTTAAGCTTTCTTTCTTTTCTCACACAAGAAACATACGAGAGATTGGATTCAAATTGTTTGATTTCTCAATTTGGTCAAGACTAATGAAAAACTCACAAGCATCCCAAAGTCAACAAAAGTGGCTGTTGTCTGCTGCCTCTCTTTCTACAAAGCTGCGGCCCCCATCCCTCTATTCAGCCGAGGAGCAAAGAACGAGCGGGGCAAAAACCTAAACTAAGCGAAGCGCTCACTCCTCCCTCTATTGTCCGAAGTTCAAGGGAGAGATTTTCCCTTATCGGAAATTGTTATTATCTTTCTTTTTTTTTTTCAAAATTAAAACAAGACTCTCCAAAAATATAAAATAGACTCAAGCCTATTACAATTTAGTTTCTTCAGCTTCTCACGCGGGCCCCACGAATGATGAATCTTCCAAAATTTGAATTTAAACACTTTTCAGCATCCAGTCCTGCAATTTGTACCAAAACAAAATATCAGTAAAATCCACTCAATTGCTGGAAATATTTAGTCGAATAAAAGTGCATTAATACCCAAAATACCCCACTAAAATGCACCCTATCAATCTTCAAGTGCCAGATTTACCTTAAGAAGAGTAATCCGTTATTGATCAATGGCTGCTCCTCATCAAGGGAGGGCCCCCGAAGAACTGATTCTTAATAATTCAAATCCAATTCCTTATAATGTCCCTTGTATTTTCTCTTGTCCGAAACTTACCAAAGTGCACCTCTCAAAGTGTATTTGCAAGACATTACCCACAGCCTTGGAAGGCTTCAAGATGCTCAGAGAACTCAGACTATTTGAAATCATCTTTGAGTCGCCCGTCCAAATTACCATGCCTAAACTTGCCATTTTGTTCATAATTAGGTGTCGGGGTATCCAACATTTTAATGTGTCTGATTTGACGCTGAAAATATTGAATTTTTGCCAGAATGATGATCTCGACTTTGAGCCAGTATATTAATTGCTCTGAGTTAGACCACGCATATATTTGGTCATTAAATGGAGTGGTTGAATTGAAAATCATAAACAGAATTGGAGGATCCTATTGACCAAACTTCTCAGCTCCTGGCCTTTACTCAAGTGCCTTGGGCTGAATGGAGATTATCTTAAGGTGACTAGAGATTCATTTACGGAGTGGTACGATTTGTTTCTTAAAATGTATGCCTGGATAGTTGAGGTTGATGAACATATAGATATATATATGAGGTCTACTTTACAGTATATGCTTCCAGGTTGTACCAGTCATGAGAGGCTTCCAACAGCAACATTGAAAGGCTTGACAATTCTTGTAAAGCGTCAAACCATAAGGAGTTAAAGTATGATATGTACTACATTTATGTACCTTTGAATTTCAGTCATTTTTATTTCTAAACGAGAATAATCTTGATATTTTAATTTAAATCATGATCGGTTATTTATAGTTTTTAAAATCATAAGAGGGTTATATGGAAAAGCAATAATTCAGAGGAGGTTAAAGTGTAACTTACTTAGAATTATTTTGTCCAATAATTTATGTTTATAACGTAAAACTATTAAAAGATTTTAGAAGATTTTCTTGAACAAGTTGCATAAATTAAGTCCCTTGATGTAAGCAATGATTAAAGTATATTTTATGTGTTTGCAAATAAAAGATATTGGGGGTGGGTTGGCTTGGGTGGTTAGGGGGAAGGATTGTAAATAGAAGGTTCTCCCACTTGCTTAAAAGAAGAAGAAGAAGAAATTATATATTATTTGTAAAAAAAAAAAAAAAAACTGTTCTCATAAAATTTGGTTTTACACTAGCAAAATTAATTTGCTAGAGAGCTTTTTGAAAATCCAAATGTGTAGATGAGCAGGTCCAATAAACCCCCCCCCCCCCCCCCCCCCCGCCGCCAAAAAAAACAAAAAAAAAAAGAGTTCTTTTTTTTTTCAATATGGTTGGACTCATTTAGGCATTATCATATGGATAAAATATACTTCAATAAGTAACAAAAAAAATTAACACATAAACCTCCTCAAGCATACATAATTTGTTTGGGAAAAATTTCCTCGAATAGGAAAAGAAAAGAAAAGAAAGGTGGAAAAAACTAATTTTTTTTCAATTGTATTTAGCTTTTTTTTTCTGTCCTCTGATTTAAAGCACACTTTGTCGACTTATATCGCAGTGATCAGCATTATAAAGCAAAAACGCTCCACCTTCCAAAAGTCGAAGCAAGGAATTTCTCCAGTAGACAAGGAAAAGCCTGATATTTCATCTTCGGTTTCTTATACAATATTTAGTACACAACTGAATTCCCAGGTAATTTTAAAAGTCGTATCTTCTTGCTTCTGATGCTTGAGAAATATGAGTAAATTAATTCTCTCTCTGTCTTGCTTTCCTAGGTCGTATGTTTTTGTCCGAGCATAATCTGTGTTCCTAACTTGTAACTTTGATTTCGCATGAACAAACAAGTTAAAAAACAAAAAAATACTTTCTTGTAATTCTCAACTGAGGTTTTACCTTGTTTTTATTGTTTACTTGTATTTGTCCTTTTCTTATTTTTAACAGATGAGAGGTGGAATTTAAGAAGCGGAGAAGGAAGGGATTTGAATCCAAAACCTCTAATTTCTGGAATTTTGTTCATTTATCATCTCACCAATTAATTGGAATCATCTTCCATGCCTGCATAATTGGAATCTCTAATTTTTATTTAATTTTCTTTTTTTTCCTTTGCAATATTGAACTTGATTGTTGAAGTTCAAAGTTCAAACTTGGCCAAGTTGTGAAAAGCTTCATATGATAAGCTAAAAACATGAATTAGCCAAAACTTGCATGTAGACCTGATTGAAGTAACTTATTCAAAAAGAAGTTGCTCCATAATTCGAAGTTGCTCTTATTAATTTCTCCCTCTCATAACCATCATATTCTTTACCTTAGACTGACACAATTAGCAAGAGAATAAAAGAACATATTAAAATTAGGAAGGTTTAACGTAGCAATTGTGAGTTAGTCTCATCTGTCAGTTCTTCATTTTGTTCATGTCAACTATCTGAAGTCTACAATGATTAGCGATTCAAATCATCTAGCAAAATAAAACCTCAAATTAATTCATCCACATTATGATCTATAAGGCGTTGCACATAAGTTGGTCAATGCTTAGCCACATTGCTCAAGCACGTACATATGTTCGCCTTCTTGAATCTATCCAACACCAAAAAAAAAAAAAAAAAAAAAAAAAAGCGAACTTCTATCCATCAATGTTTTCTTGCCTGGTAAAAGCACTGAATCATCACCGCAAATGACAAAAGACACCACCAGACCGGGGAACCCAAAAATTAAAAAAAAAAAATCATTAAAAAGGTGAAAGTCTCAACACGTGGGCAAGTAGATATATTTATATTTATTTAATGGTTGCAAGGGATGAATTACTAAAAAACAATCTTCATCAAGTATCCTAAATTGGATATCTACCTCTTCTTCCCATATGGCTTTAATAAAAACAACATAACCACATGGTGTCATCTGTCCGCTAAAAAAGAATAGCTCGGAAATATCCGAGAGCATGGATGCCAAAACCCAACTTCCACCATCCCAACAACCTCTGGAAGTTTTTAACAAAAACCAACTCCTAGAATATACAATTTACACTTATGCTAAGAGGCTCGGCTAACGCCGAGATTGCTGTATAATGAACCTCAACTAAAGCACAAAAACCCAAAAGACTCAAAGTTGTAGTTGGCCTGGACCTCTTCGCAAAGACCTTGAAGGAGGCCGGCTCAGCTCCTGTGCTGCTGAAGGTCTCTTTGGCTCTTCCAGTCTTTGAACCTCCTGAACCAACTAACATTTGTACAGTTACTAACTTTAAACCATTAAAGAACTTCAGAAGCCAAAATTTGTCCAAATTGACCACATTTTGAAACTTGCATCAAGTAAAACCAACCTTTGTTGAAGAAGTGGAGCTGTATCGTGACTGGGTCTGTGTCTTGGCATGCATGCGATGCTGCTGCTGGATTTGGTCAAACTGTTGAAGTCTGGAAGCAAAATTTATTCCATTGTGCGGATTTTGTAGATCATCATGCATATCACCGTCCTCAGAAATTTGTGACCCACTCCCTGTATAATTCATTAGTGAATAGGGGATCCCAGATGACGCCATCCTTAGTTGTTCACCGCTGAATGAGTACGGAGGTACGGTTTTCAATCTGGTCCGCAGAATCTTAAATGATGCACTTTGCTGCATCAACAAATAAATACTAGTCATTGACATTTTGAGATTGATAAACATCACTGTAACAATACCAGCCACAAGTAAATTCAAACTCCCCAAGAAACCCATAGATCCTGCTGCCATCAAGGCTGAAACGTTTAAACCAACCAAACCAAAAAACAATAAAAACAAGAAAGCGATCTGCTAGTGAGACAATCTAACTACACAAGATACTATGCATAAGCAGGCCCAATCAATCAAACCATCCATGGTTGTAACAAGCTCTCAGTATCATCATGCTATTACAGCAGAGTACTTGAGACCTTAGAGATGGTCGCAACCAAGTAAACCAATCAGTGTTTGTGCAAGTTAGAAAAACCACTTAAACCAACTGAAGTCCGGTACAATTTGCTTGATGACTTACTTCTGAGGGCTTACCACAAAAATACATCTTTCATTTGTGTGGTTCTTGGAAATTCGTGACATTAGAGACTAGAAGCATTATCTAAAGATGGAAACCACTTTAAAGTTTCAGATGCCGCAGCTAATTCAGAAAAACAATTGACGAATAATCTAATTCCCCCAAAAAAAGAAAAATGACAGAAAGCAGTTCCCAATATCATGAAACACTGCAAGTCTTAGTGCAACAGTATCTCTTCAAGGACATCACATGCTCATTTGATAACCAGATCCAGGACAATAGAGGCAATTACTCATAGCATAACAAGTCCCTGGAGCCCTAGGTTTATAAATGAAGTTGAAAAATCAGAAATGTAAACTATGCAACTAGTCTCCACCCAAGCTTAAAGTTGGGCAACAAGCACATTGACATTCCTGTGAGAAAAAAATAAAAATATGACATACCTGGGGAAGCAGCATCAGAAGACCATACAAAGCTTTCAAAAGCCAAATATATTTTCCAGGTTCAAGAAGCTGCAGAAGAGAAAGTACTTCAAATATTAATTCAGGTTAACATGGGTTGTAGCATACATTATTGCCGTTAGGATGAGAAGAGGTATCAAAATATGCATTGTAGTCATCAACATACTGCTCTGTTCCAAATATTGGAAGAAAACAATTTTGTTCTCTCTCCTCAATATAGGTGCCACCAATTTTCTTGGATGTGATCCAAAGACAATCAATCATCTCTGATGTGAGCCACATGGATCACATAAAAGCAGAGGCAAAATTAATAGCCATCACTACTTGAGAGAGAGAGAGAGAGAGAGAGAGAGAGAGAGAGAGGAATATGAATCTGATGATACGGTTTCAGGAAGTTGATGTGACACCAAATTTTACAGCAAGAGAAGGTTGGGAATGAGACAAATTGACTAATGAGGGACCCAGTTACAACCAAACGAACAACACAGAATTCAGAGTCACTGATAATATTTAAAATAGATATAATCTCTTACATGTGTCTCAGAATTCAATTACAACAAAAAAGACGTAATCACATAAACCTTATAACTGAATTGCACTACAGCATGTCTTTATACTGTCAATTGATGTCCCTCTTGGCTCTTGCTCATCTTCTCATTCATACATTGGTATAAGATATACGTTCAATTAAATTGAGTCTATTGCTTCTCTGCCAGAGTATTAATGTATGATCTAGTAACCATGAGGTTTCTGCTTCCTCTGCCAAACTATTGCACATCTTCAGCTATTACCAAGTCCCAGTGGTCAATGAAAGTATGAAATTCAATCTTACGCTATCTATTATTTACTTTAGAAAGGATTTAATGAAAAAGAGTCTGCACTGATTTTATGACTAGGGTTAGCATATTAGCCTCAACTGAAAATTAACTTCACCAAGGGTCCGTTTGTTTCGGGTGAAAATGTTTTCCAGGAAAATATTTTCCTAATTTCCCGTGTTTGGTTGCACAAAAGTTACTGAAAACATTTTCCTATGTAAAATATTTTCACTCATCTTATGGAAAACAACTTCCCTTCCAAACTTACTGAAGTTGTTTTCCGAAATGCATGCATCCCGCCTGTCGTATGTTCCAAACTTACTGAAAACATCTTGTAGTATGTTCTTTTTTTTTTTTAGTGTAAACAGGAGGATTCGAACCCAAGACCTCTTCCTTACACTCCCTCCCCCGTACCACCCAACCCAACCCTCCCCCTAGTATATTCAAAATAAAAAAAAAAACCTCATCCTGCTCATCCTATGCTAGTAATTAATTATGTATAATAGGAACATTCTTTTCTAGAGAAACTTTCAGCAGTGAGAGTGCAAGATATATGTCACAATAAGCATTGCATATGATTGATTTTTGACACTAAATGGCCAGCAATTTGTTTATTGCTTAAGGAGATATTTTTTATTCATATATACATTTCTCCAAGATTTTTTAAAGTTAAACAATGAGATAAATTTTCTTATTTTGCATGGGAAGAAGTATGTAGTTATAATGTGTAGAAAGTAAAGATAGAGATAAAAGTGAAAATATTTCAAAAGTTAAACAAACACCAGAAAAATGAAGTAAGAAAATATTTTCAATAAACTAACCAAACACCTGAAAATGATGAAAGGGAAATGATTTTCATGGAAAATTACTTCCACGGAAAATATTTTCCCAAGGAAAACATTTTACTTCCAACCAAACAGACCCCAAGAATCCCTTCAACTATCATTTCAACAAATATACTGACCTACCCAAAAAACTTTTATCCACTGATAAAGAGTACCTCTACTAAATTTTGCCATATTTCTTAATTCTAATTAGCTACCCTCTCCATGTCTCTATCAATATCAATCCAGAAAAAAAAATTGAAACAAATTGGATTAGTTCACTAAATTCTGTTAATATAAAACACAAAGTTTAACCATGAAGGACATTCATGAAATAATGACCTAAGGAGGTGACATTGAGATTTAGGATATACCAAAATAAGTTCCTATAATTCTTGAAACACCGTCATCGGGTAGCAGTTGGGTTAACCTTATGATTAGAACCCTAAAGTTATGCACTCTCTATAATGCTAATATTAATTAGCCTTGCTCCCACAGTGTGCACAATCACAAAAAAGAGAAAAAAAAAAAAAGGAGAAAAGAAACACAAATGTTGCAAAGAAAGTACATTGCAAACCCTAATACACTAGCAAAAATTCATCACCTGCAGTCTGAGGTAAGCAAAGGTGGGAGTCTCCAATAGATGGATCAATTTGTCCAGTTGGACCAAGAACTTAACATTAATATCTTCCTCAACTAGGGATTGGACGACAGAACTAGCATGTTGATACGTCTGTGAAGTAATCCAAGCAAGATAGTCAACTTATAAGAATCAATTAAAATGACCACAGTTGCCATATCCCACAAAAGAGCTGAGAGCGATTATAAAGCAAAGGAGGTAGAAACCCAAATAGTAACAAGTCAAAACCAGAAAGCAGCAGAGTCCCACCTGAGCTAATAAGCAAAGGCTTATTATTGCCATTGGCGAATGGCACCATGAGGCATATAAAGAAAGAAACAAGTCTTTTCCAGCAGCAGTAACCAATGATTGTTTCAAAAGGTCTCGAAGACCAGACAACTCAGATGATGTAAGCAAAATTAAATTCAAAGCCTGCAAGAAAACAAATGAGCATACATAAAGTTGGACAACCACATCTAGGGTCTAAATCCATCTTCTGAATTTATCTCGATTAAAAAAAAACAAATCAAGAAAATCTTTTTGAATAATTACATCCCGTAAAAGCAGCCAATAAAACAACCATCCAGTTTTGCACCAGAGACAGCCAGGGGATGGGTGGTAAAGAGATGTTTATACCACAAACCTGAACCATAATAGACGCAAAATCCAGATCAGATTCTCCTTCAAGAATTGTAGATAGCTCCCGGTAAACTCTTTCAGCATCTAAAAGAACACACAGCCGGCGGATTATCAAAGCACCACGTCTGAATTGAAGAAAAGATTAAGCTAACAACTAGCACCACAATACATTCTTCAAACAAAAATCATATCTTAAAAACAGTGTAGTTGCTCAAGGAGAAAGACTAGCCTCTCTAGGAGAGAATTGTCAACCCGAAAGTTATGAACTAAAAACACGACGAGCTGACGGAAATGGTGTGGATCCTTGGCTATGCATGCATGCACTTCAAGCACCAGAAGGACTACCTGGAAGAACACCAGATAAGGAATATGCATTACACATGCAACTGAATAGTGCTGATTTGAATGACTTTCGAACAATATTTGTTCAGTGCAAACTCATCTGGATTTTAGATATAAAACATCTGAAAACAGAAGGTAATGACACTTCTCACATCTCCTGATGTTTCATAACGAGAATCAGTACTTTCTTGACCATTGTTTACAGTATATGCGATGATCAATAGTCTTTCAACAGAATGAATGCACATAGAAATTGTAACAAATAGGACATGATTTCTTCTTTCGTCTTATCTTTAAGCAATATCTTAAAAGTCGTGGGTTAACAAAGTAAAAAGATTCTTGAATAAGAAATAAGCTTATTATAAATGAAGAGAGTTTTCAAGCAAATTAAGACGGTATGTTGGAAAAGCTGCCCAGTCATTGTTTTCAAGGAAAAAAAAAGACATCTAACTGCAGATAAATTTAAAAATATGCTAACAAAATGAGCTACAGAATTTAGACAAAAGAAATCCTCAGGCACCAATTACAATCAACAGCAACTAAACTTCACTTTTAGTTTAGGAAGATAGCCCTCCAAGAAGAAAGAAGAGAAAATACCTAATAATAGCGTGAACTGCAAAAAGTAAAGGAGGCAATTGGAGGATAAGGCCGCGAAGGAAATAGGTAAAGGAGATGAGGGAAGGGCAGATGAGTGTAAGAAGGGTATAACCAAAAGTCTGAGAACTAAATATCCCATAATTAAATGAAACTCACAAAGAGGAAAAATAGGTCCTCGGATAACGAGAAGCACCCTCCGCAAGCATACCTGCTCTGCCAAAAGCCTACACAGGACCCCTTATCTTTCTATTAGTTATATGTTCACACTGGAACACATTTTCTAGATCATAGATTCATCCATGAATTCACCAGAAAAATTTTGTCCAAACCATCCCCCAAAGGTACCTAATTTAGTATAAAAACCCACAATCTTTGGACTTTGCTTTCTCTCGCCTCAACACAAAGAACAAAAAAGAAAAACTAATATCTCTCATCGATCAATTTCAAGGTAGTTAGAATGAAACGAGCTTCAAATCCTTATTGCAGCGCGTACGGTGATTTGGTCAAATAATCCAAAAAATGAAAAGCAAAACAAGATGCGCCTTAATAAACAGACAATCCCTTGACCTAAAAAAGAACATAAAAGAAAATACCTCATCGGATGGATCTGATAATGCCTTGAGAAGTGTATCAAAAACATCATTCAGGAATGCCAGAACCTGTTCCATGTAAAAAGGAAAATTAACAGCCTAATCACCTTATCAAGGTAATTGGTAGAAATGTCAAGGTAGATATAGAGCATGACCAATAGTAAAGACAAAAGGATCTTAATCCTGTTCTAAAAGACCTGGACATATGATTTCAAACTTTATAGCATCAAAACTAACAATTGCAAAAGATTTGCCATCTTTCATGATGGCTGTGAACATCAATAGACATAAATGTGCAAAATAAAATTTCATTTCCCCATGTAATTCATGAAAGTCAAGGTCTACAGGATACTTAGACAACTCCATCCTTACTCACTCCAGTAATCATTTTCGCCAGCTAGAAGTTATAGTTATTTTTCATTTCTTAGAAGAACTCTCTAAGTTATTAAAAAACAAAAAAACAAAAATCCCCTTCGTGAAAAAAATAAGAGGCAGAAAAAAAAAAGGAAATTGATTTTAGCAAGTAACAGCTTCAGGCAACAAAAAATCAGAACCATTCAGAAAGCATGAAATTTTACAACCATTTAAGAACACATAAAAGGGTCCACATTTAAAAGGAATAATAAGACAATCCGAATCACCTCTGTACGGTGTCTATTTAAGAGGGTATAAATCCAATGCAATGCTTCAATACGTGTTGCCTCCCATTCAGTAGACAAGTGCCTGATAAGAAGGAAACACAAGTTTACCATTACACACAGATTATAAGGAAATATCGATTATAATACCAGAACAGAGGACAAAATCCAATTTACGAATTGCTCTATAACATCTAGCGAACCAAGTGGCATCCACAGTAGCCAACAAGAAGCTACTCCAAAACCCAGGATCCACTAGCTATACCTCCTTGCAACCGAGAGGATTGCTCCCACATCAAATCCTTCAGCAGGATCAGCCTTAATTGCTCGAAGTTCTTCATTTGTTTCACGAGCAACCTTTAATTCAGATAATACAAAAATGAAAAAGTGAGAGATACTGGAAAGGAAAACTAAGGGAGGTGAAAATACCAAATGGAAGATACAAACAGAAGATTCATCGTAAACAAACTTACAACTCTTATTTTCTCTTCTTTATCAGATATGCATGGAAGAATAGCTCCCAGAATATCAGCATAGTAAGGAACAAGCTGATCCCCACCAAGCTTTACAAACTCATTTATCTGCACAGTAAAGCAGTTGATTGATACTGATTTCAACAAATATAGACACATTAGTATATGGTATTCCCATTTGATAATGTATAAGAAGCAAAGCAGCGGCAGCAGCACTAAGCATCAACGCTTACCCAAGTAATAGCAGTCAACCGAGTAAACTCATCCTGGGAAGCAGCTCTCTGTACCAATATCTCAGCCATGCGACCATAATCTACAGACTTCAAGAGTAGCACTGCCAAGTCAGGATTTTACAACAACAATATTCCTAGTATAAGAGAATATACAGGATTTTTCCTTTCATGTCAATACATAATCCAAAAACATCCAAAAGACAGATCTATGCAACCCCATCCTAAAATTCTTCAAGAAAGGTCAAAAAAGCTGCTAATGCATTTTGTGGCATTACCAAAGAGCAATACAAGATATGTTGAATAGAACATAATCAATCTCACTAGATGAACTTATTAAACAGTAAAGTTCTATCTCAATATTAGGGATCCCTTCCAACCACTGTATGCACAGAAAGGAAGATGCTTCCAGTCCAACAAGATTTGAGGAGCAGGAAACAACGCATGTAACAAAGACTTCATTCAATCAAGAAAAGCAACCATGTAATAAATCACTAACTATATACAAAGTTGACTACTCCCCAAGGTCTTACTGGAGAATTCTTGATTTCTGTAAGAAATTCTGAAAGTGCAGAATCAGCTTGTTGGCGTATCTCATGGCTAGAATCACTTAGCATATTGAATAGTCCTGCAAATGCATTCAACCAGGTTAGATAAAAGATAACACCAATAATTGCACTCAGCTTCTAAGATCCATTTTGTTTAGTTGGACCATCCACCTTCTCAACCCACCCCCCAAAAAACCACCCAAACCTGGACAAGCACATTCAATCCCAGAAACTTCCCTTCCCCTCCAAGAATTTATGTTGCTACGATACCATATCAATATCAGACGCATTGGAAATCATACTCTATATGTCCAAATATTCAAATAACAAAGACAGTATTTTATGCAAGTCTCCTAGTATCAAATGTAAATTCTAATAAAGAAAGAAAAAGTAAAGCGGCATAGCAAGACTTTATTAACCTTCACAATGTAAAAGCTTACCATCAAGAAAATCAGGGAGGAAACCCAACATATCTATATCAGGAACACTGTCCAATACGGTGATCCATCCCACCAAGAATTGGCGGACATAGGGATTGAGGACATTCATTCGTTCCCTTAGCAATGGGATAAATTCTTCAATGCTGAGAAAGCCAAAGAGAATGAAGTATTGATACGAGTGCAATAAATTGATTCACTCTGGCAGTAAAACTGATATTGATTAACATGAAAGGGACAGAACAGTATAAAGCAAACCTGAATTGATCACTCTCTGTGACTATGTCCTGCAATCAAAGAAAGCAAATCATACAGCAACTCATCATTTGGAAAGATCTAATGCCAATGAAAAGATGGGGAAATAGAAATGCTCAGTTTATTTACCTTCACTAGTCTGTCTAAAAGATGGGCAGCACTCTGTACATTGGCATCTGAATCTGCGGAAAGCTTACATAATGCGTCAAAAATTTGATTAAAGAACACAATAAAATCTCCCCTTACAACCTGCAAAATGAGATTAGAAAGGCTGAAGCTCAACATACATAGAAGACATCATATATGAACAAAATCTCTGCGTATTACACCTTTGCTATGTTATATAGAGCTTCACAAGCATAATAACGAACTCTGCTATCTTGATCAGAAAAGGAGTTTAGCACTGGTGGTACAATTTGCTGCAAAATTAAATCCAAAGATAAGTAAAGGCACCAATAAAAGATTATTGACTTATAACTACAACTGTTCATCAAATGATAATTTAGAATATCTGCAAATAACAAGATATATAGACCAGGAGAAGCGAAACAGGAAAGGATACAACAGTAGTCATATTCTCAAGTAGAACTTGATGTCTCGGTAAACAAAAATTGCTTACAAATATTTTCTCTCAAGGCCAACATGGGAAATTATACAAAAATATAAGATGAAGGCTGTACTGTATACTTGAAGTACCAATAGCATGCAGAACAGTAGCAAAAATCCAGAGAAATATAATGCACACCAAGCACATAACAACTCATTATCAACCTAGTTTTCTTAACTAGAACAGTAAAAAGGTTTTTGGAAAAAAACAGTTTAAATTACTCAAAGCAAGTGCCTAGAATAGAACGAGATCTCACAACCCTCAATAGAGCATCAACATTGCTGGCAGGTAAATGGCATTCGTTATTCTTTGACCTGTTCAGTGAAAATCTGGAGGTATGGTGCACTTAGGAATTGGAACTTTATTGTGATACCAAGTTTGAATTGTATTGCTTTTATCATTAATCTTCATATTGGCAATCTTCAAGCATATAGAGAAACTTGACTGTGTCTTATACTTCAACCTTCAAGCAAAAGAAACTATTTTGTACCAAAAAACTTAAATAAAAACAATAAAACCACCACATTCCTTGCCAGCTCTCCAACCCCTAGATGCTATCTCTGCAAATTGTTATAAGCATACAAGCTCTACATATTTCTGATCCATTTGTAGGTAAATAATTGAAAATACCGGCCAAAAATTCAGTTCCATAGACAACTCAGGAAAGATGCACCTCATAGACAAAATACACATATTAACAAGAAAAGCCCAAAGATAGATGCAAATCTTTTGCCTTTTCTGATAATGTGAGTCACCGAAATGAGCCAAAACAATAGCCACCAGTTTTCAATTGCCATCGTACTAAGCAGCTATAAAAAGGAATATACAACAGGACTCTTTGTTCCCTACAACTTCAGATGCAAGCATCTAAATTAATTAAGTCCTCCAAAACACTTCAAATGACAAACTTTGTATTCAAAGACATAACATCGAGCAACTGTTAGAAGCATATTCCACAGCATCATAAACACACCAAGCTTCCAAAAGGATACACAAAAAATCTTCTACCAAAAATAACTTAACATCATCCTCCTACTGTTAATCTACAAAAAGGCACATGAAGGAATCAACTTTTATGGTACTACTACAATTAACCAACTTCTCAAGGTAGAAAACTATTGACAAACTTCTACCATCTAAAGAACAGTTATAAACAAAACAAGATTAAATAAAATGAACGCATTCAATAAACAAGAGCCATACCTCAAGATGCTGGGCCGCTTCAGAAGTCAAACCCACAGTAGCAGCTGCCAATCCTATCAAACCTCCCTGCATGTCCCCCCAAAAAAAAAATCAAGAGGAGAAGAACCAAAAAATAATAACAATAATCACGCCAAAAGATCCATTCCCATTCAATTTCCCCCAATTCAACAATTTATCAACAAAACTAGGCACTATTAGGAAAAAAAGATCCCACCTTTCGGTGATTAGCCTGCGGGGAGTTTGTGAACTCATTAACCAACAAATTAATCACCGCCGCAATCTTATCATGCTCCCCGGCCACTGCCAATTGTTTCACTATCCCTTCCACCTACACAAATACACACATTCATCATCATCCTTAGATCCCTTCAATAAACCCTAAAATAAAATTATCCCCAAAAAAATAGAAATTAAAAACCTCAAGCGCCGCATTCTTCCGTTTCTCATAAAGCTTATCCGACAAATTACGCAAAACCGCCGCCGGAATAATAGAAAACACATCGGCCATAGGAAAACAGAAGTACACACAACACCAAAATCCAAAAACCCTAAATACAGAAAAAAATGAAACGGTTTCTCTGCCCTTTGTATCCACTATAAATTCTTCCACGGCAATTGCAAAATTGACAAGAAAAAATCAAAATTAACTGAAGTGTCAAAATCTTTTTCTGATCTTTTCTCGCTGCAATCGGAACATTTTCCAAAATTAACACAAAAATAGTGTAAGTTTGAATTGTAAGTATAGGTAGATGGATGGATACAGCTGGTTGGGACGATAGGTACTAGTACTGGAGAAGAAGGAGATCGAAATTGAGGGGGAAATTTTTGGGGGAATTAATTGAGGGAAAGGACTTGGTATAATTGAAATTTAATTTGAAAACCGAAATCCTCTGCCTTGGATTTATAGGGGAAGAAGAAAGAAGAAGATGAGAGGGAAATTAAAAAAGGTAGAAAAGAAATGAGAATTTAGACGAGTTGAATTTTTATTTTGTTTCATTTAATTTAATCTGATTTAATTTTGTGTTTTATTTTGGGTTTTGTTTAGGTTTAGTGTTTTTCTTTTTCTTTTTTTTGTTTTTCTTGTTTCGGTGAATTGCAAACTGCCTCGTGAAAATGTGCTGTTGTTTCAAATTACCCCTCAAAGACTCACACTAACAATGTGCTCCTTAAATGTTTAACTTTTTAATCACTCTTTTTCTTTCTTTTAATTGTCAGGATTGCATCAAAGCTAGATTGCATTTGAATCTATACAAGTATCAGTTCAATCAATATGTAACTTGAGCTTTAATTTGATTTAATACCTAAAGTAAGTTCAATTTCAAGCTTGATTTAAAAATTAAGTTCAAGATTAAGTTTGGCAAGTTTTTTTTATAAATTTCAGGATGATTGGAGTAGACTTGATAACAACTCGAACATAACTAACCTCGAGTTTGGATTTGGTAATGAAATGAGTTTGGAGTATTGTCGTGATTAGTATTGTAAATCTTGCTATTCCAACAATTTTTTTTTAAAAAAAATAACTCAATTAAAATTCAAATATTGAATCTACTATTTTTCATATCAAGTTGTTCTGCTCAGCAGATGTGAAGTTGGATCCAACTCCAAGTCAAGCTGTCCAGCATAAACATATTCTCTTTACGTTGTGATTGCAATTTTAGAAGGATCAAAAAGTGCAGACACACGTGTCATAATAATAGAATCACGTTGCAAGACGATAGATAAAATTTTAAATTATTGACCTTTACGAGATATTCAATTATTTAACTTAATAGGCAAATACTATTCTCATGATCAAAATACTAAATTAGTCATATGCTTATGATGTATGTATGACTTAAATGATAGGAAATATTAAATTTGCCCAATAAACATATTGTTATATAGTATATATCTTAATTTGATGCATTGTGTTGATAGAGATTGTAAGGTGTTACTTACCATTGCATAGGGTAATTGATGAAACAAATAATTTTCAGGGTGCAACCAGAGATAAGTTCATAGTTCAAGGGGTAAATTGTACTTGACCCTTTTATTAATTTTTCCTTATTGTTGGAGGAGAAAACAAAATAGGAACTGTTTGGCTGCTGGGTTTGGACTTTGGATAAGCAAGCTGGCATTGCGTTTAACGGTTGGGTGGGAAGTGGAAAAAGCATGGCCCAAAGGCGCCTGAGTTAGGTGTAAAATCGTTAAACTTATTCTTCTCTTAAACAAAAATTATTGACTTAAACATTACACCTTGTTCTTTAACAATTTTCTTTGCAAAAAAAAACAAAAAAAAAAACTTCGGAATGATTTTTCTTTTTATTGATTTCCTGTGACATTTGGGACTTTACTAATCACTGCACATAATCAGTTCAACAAAATATTATAAACTGATTTTGGCTTTTAGTAATTGTTCTTATTGTTTTCTATGCTTTTTCTTTTCTACAAGGTATTTTAAATTTTTAAATAAAAAAAAAAAATAAGTGTCTTTGAGAGTCAAGATTTTAGTCAATTTTTGCTTCGAAAAAGTTTCCAATGCACCTTCATAAATTACTGAAATCCATTTTCGAAAAACTGCATCCCTAACTAACTTCAGAAAAAGTTAAAACCATCTATATCAGATACATGTCATGGAAATAAATTATTAATAAATACAAGGAAATGTGTATCACCTTTTTTCTTTGCTATGATTAAATCTTGAATACATGATGATAGTTTTTCTTCTTTGTGGCTTCAAGAGGCGTGGGTCAGTAAAGGAGGACTTTTAACTCATGAGATTTGATGATGGGCTGATGTATTCAAGTGAAAGATGAGACTGACTTCTTTCTGTTTTCTTTTTTCTCTTTTTTTATAGGATAACTCTATACCGTGTAAGCTTGCATATTTTCCTGTTTGACAAGATTTACGACAAAGCCCATGCCTTTTTTATCCAGTCCTTAGTCAACGATTAGGTATATCATTTTTCCACATCGCATTTCTTTGAAATTTTTGGATACCAAAAGCAAAAAATGAGTAAGTTACTTGGAAGAACAGTAAACTTTTCCAAGTTGTTATATTCTGTCTATGAGATTTTAGCTTATCTGGTCAAAGTCATATGTCATTTTTGTTAAGTCAAAGTAGTCATCCTAGGAATATGTGTTACCTTTTCTTTTGCAATTAAAATTTTAGATGAGTTCGCATCCAGATTTTCAGTCATTATTACGAGTCGAAATATATACCTTCGAAATTATAGGTAACTTACAAAAATTTTTATAAATCACATACTAACACAACACAGTCCTTATATTATCAGCGGAATTCAACACAGTCCAAATTTTCAGTCGCTATTACGGGTCAGAATATACCTTCGAAATCATAGATAATTTGCAGAAATTTTTATAAATCACATACTAATACAGTTCTTATATTAACAGTGAGATTCAATCACGTTAGCTTGAACCATGTGTGTTAGTCATTCGTTTACAATACTGTGAAATTCTCACATTGGACATAGAAATGCCAGCCAATGTTGCATTGGTTTTCTCAACTTCAGTTCACTTATGTTCCACGTTATCTCTCGAGATCCATAAACAAAGGGTCTTGTTTATATATATAGTCATCCTCTACGAGGGAAGACAAAATCCTCAATTGGATAGTTAGAGAAATTAAGCATAGGCTAAGTAGGGTTGAGTCGAACATAAGTTTGATAAAACAATAATACAGGTTGGTTTGCTTGGATGAATATCAGAAAAAATATTCCTTGTGTGCACTTGAAGAAAACTTTTCAACCATCTTGAGGAACAGAAGTCTAATGCACCTCTAAATATGGGAGGTCTTGAAGCTTTCTTTGTGTATTAGTCCAACTCAAATTGATAATGGGGTACAATGACATTGGATTGTCAAAGATAACACGTTAGCATAAAAGCTACTTTATGATAATTTGGGAAACAATTAGCAAAGATTCCAGTCTTAATTGAACATATCACTGGAGGGTTAAATCAGTGATCCTTTCCCTTAAAGTGCTTTGACTTAATTTCCATGTGGTTTCCTAGACGGCTAGTAAAATAAGATAAAAGTTTTTCAGTGATTAAAGTTTGAATACCTCTAGCAGCTGGAGTCTAAGAGGCAGAACAACACTTTTGGTTGCTTTTAGTAAAGGTCATTGAGCTGAAGGAACTGGTGAATGGTTGGATGTTTGTTTGAACTGTAGGGTCGTAGGCTCACTTTTGAGAACTTTAAACTTAACCAGCCAATAACATCTACTTGAATTTCTTTTCATCATTGCCTTGTTTTACCTACTTTAACAAAGTAAATATTGCAAAATTATGAAGCAAGATTTGACAGGGTGTGAAAAGTGGATAACTAAACATTTTGAAAAGGACAATGGGAGAAGGTAAAGTACTCGGGATTAAGTATGAAGATTCAACAGTTAGGTGTTAAGTTTGAAGATTCAACTATTAGGTCTTTGCAAATGTTAAGTATAACACTTTCAAAGTTTTTTTTTTTTTCAAAAATCATTCGCTCACTACATTTTACATCCTTCTTATTTTCAACTGTCAGGTATAAGATTTGAATCCTAAATTTGGCGGCAGAAAAGACTCTCCTTCTATGACACTTCAAATATTGTCCAAACATATTTATGTGAGGCCAATGTTTTTTTAATTGCTTACAATACTTACATACTGGTCTATAAAGCCATAGATGATAGAACACGTTCTAGTAATTTAGCTAATGCTTCCCTCCTTTAATTGTCAAATCATGGAAAAATAGACACAGTAGGAATCATCTGTCAATTTAGATAGGACTTATCATTAAAGTATGTTTAAACCAAAATCAACCGTGGAAAGAATTGAGAGCTAAGGTTTATAATGTGGTATATAACTTGGTTGATTTATCAAGTCTTTTTAAATAATCCTAATTACAATGGAGATTGGAGCAACTGAATATATTTACCATTTGTCAAATAAAACACCATTCAAAAAAGTCATAATTTTCAAAGATAAGGTTAACTCGAGTTTTTGTTGTGCAAAATTTCGACTTTTATCTTCTCTTCAAAACAAAAAAAAAATGCAATACTATCACAAAATAGATGGAAGTTTCTACAATTATGATAAACATCAGAGGAGGAAGTATAATTTTGCCCAACTTAAAAAGAAGGGAAAATGGTAATCGGCAAGTCAAACCGGAACAATTTTTTTCTCTTCTTTGACCGGTAAAAGTAAACACCTCATAAAGTTAATAATGACTCTCGCCGGCGGCATCAAATCCGCCGTCAATTCGACGTCTCTAATCTCCTGGAAAACGGTAATTTCCTTCCCCCCAAAAAAAAAAAACCATTTTATGAAAAAAAAGTCAAAATTGATCGGAACCCAATCGCTTATTTTCGCTTTTTTTGCTTGAATTGCAGACTGGAAAGTTACAGAAAACAGTGACCAACTATATACAGAAAACCGGGCTGGGAGTCCACTCCGGCAAGCTATCCACGGTGAAAATACACCCTGAGCTGGCCGGAAGAGGCAGGTACTTCGAATTTAAGTCAAATGTCATCAGGGCTTCGATTGATTACGTAAAAGAGTCACCTTTATGCACTACACTTTGTAAAGATGGGTATAGTGTAAGAACGATCGAGCATTTGCTCTCTGCTCTGGAGGCCTCCGGTGTCGATAATTGCCGTATCGAAATTCAGAGCTGTGATTCTGATGATGATTCTTCTGTTGAGGTTGTTATTCTGTTGATATTGATTTGCTCCATTTTTTTTAAAAAAATTTATACTTACATGTTGGATTGAGCGTTTGCTTCTGGCTGAATGCAAATGAGCGAATTGTAATGCTGTTTAATGAGTAAACAATTCCTTACGTGAAGAAAATAAGGTTATGCATGACAAATGTAGGTTAAATTGATGCAAAAGCAATGGTTTTTGATAGGTAAAACTAATAAAGGCCTTTATTTTTGATGGATGGATTAATGTGCTTTCATGTCTATTCATGAATGCAATGCTTGATTGTTTGTATTGAGCTAAAAATGCTTCATTACCATCAAGATATGGCTGTAGATAATATTTGTTGGTAAGTTTGACAGAAAAAAAAAGGTTTTTACTGTACTATCAAAAGCTCCTATTCTTAATGGATGAATTCATAAGTACTTGTGCCCACAGATGTATGCAATGGATGTGATTGAGTGTAAATGATTTGTTAAGTTAAGGAGATTAGGTTAAAAATGATTGTGGTTCGCAGTTTTGGTGGACGGATTTACATGTACTTGTGCTTATTAATGTGCTTAATCTGAATTACATGGTACATAACTCAGGAACAGAGAAAGGTTTGCATTTTTGAGAAGTTACTAATATGCACTGAATGTATATTAGTATCGGAGGTGTGATATGAAAGGAATATGATTCATTACTTGAAAAAGATAGGGATATGTTAAATATGTGCTGTTGTGTTTGATAAAAAACCTTGGTTTGATAACTGAAAATCTGACACAGGTTCCTATTTTTGATGGGTCAGCAAGGGAATGGATGGAGGCAATTCGACAAGTTGGGCTAACGGTGGCCAAAGATAGTGGCGGTAAAAGCTGTGAAAAGTTGGTACCTTTTCTTAATGAACCTGTTTTTGTGTCAAAGAATGATTCTTTTGTAGCGGCATTCCCTTCTCAGAAGACCAAAATCAGATATGGGATTGATTTTTCAAAGGTACATCTCTTCTTCGTTAATTAGTAACTTGTGCGGTAATATCAACTAATAGGGACCTTCATATGTGCTTCTTTCTGTTAGCTTTCTAATAGAACTAGTTTTGATGAAGCTTAATTGTGTCTTCTTGATGTTAAGCACCTTCTAGAAACTTTCCACTTAAAGCGATTGCAGTAAGATGAGACAGTTGCATTTATAGAAACTGCTTGCTATTATGTCTGCATTCAGCAGGACAGCTTATAATTATTGTGAAATTAGACTCAGTGTTCATTGTTTTTGTGAACTCTTTTCACTCTTTGTACATCTTGCAGTCTGAGATAAACTCAATGGCCTTTAAAAAGTATGTGATGGTCATCTGCATTGAAGTACAATTGACTGCTAAAGTTATTTACAGTTCATTCTTCAGCCTTAGATGATACTCTAGCAAGAAACTTATTGCCATTAGTGGAATCGGTTTTAATACTTAGAACAAGCAGCGCACACACCAATCAAAAGTTTTACTCCTCAAGTTAGATAAGATGTGGATATTAAGCCAGAAATTGAAGGTGACAACCATAGGCATTTGTTATTAAAATTCATCAAAATTATGTTGTAGCCTAGTCTTTTCATAGTCTGATATCCACAATGATGATAATTAAAAATTGTCCTTATTGATACTGGGCTTGGTTGTCATTGAATATCTTGGACAAACTATTGATTAATGGAAGTTAAAGAGATGTAAACATTCTAACAAGGTTGCTAAAGGGACTGGTGGTAGATATTTCCCTGACATAGGGAAGAACCTTGCAAAGACTGGTGATAGGAGGATCACGTGGAACTTTGCTGGGGTAAGGGAAATTTGAAAAAGCTGCTGATACATCTATGGAGAAGATAAAGGGTGGAACAATTTTACGAAAATGGTGCATATGTAGTAATACAGGGGATGACAACCAGTTTTCAGGAACATAAATTTTTGTGTGATTCTGGATTCAATATCCATGCTCAAGTTGTACATAATCTTTGTGCTGTGCACCTTTCTTTTTATCCTTTTTGGTTCTTAATGAATAAATTCTCTTTCGCAAAGGTCAAGACTGTATCAATGTTTTCTTGTTTTTGGAGGAATAATTCTTTCTTCTGGCAAAATATAAGCCAATTTGCTGATTTTATGTATGGTAAGTAAGTTCTCAAAGTATTTTGCAATTTGAAATGTGGACTTGTGATGCTTTCTTTATTGCAGATACCTGCTATTGGCTGTCAATGGTTTTGTTCTACCTTTGCTGATGACTGCATATATGACAATCTGATTGCTTCTTCAAGAACCTTTTGTATATATGAAGAGGTTGGTCCTAAGTCTTGTTTCTCACGGTTTGGTTTCTATGATTATCTGGCTCTATATTCTTGTGAATACAAGACTACTGATGATGATTGCGATTTTCTATTTTCATTGGGTGTATGAAATTTCTGGGATGTGTGCCATGAGTGGTTTGGATTTTTAAGTGCTTAGTCCTGTTCCTGTGCATCATGATATTTTGATGAGCATGCTAAGCCCATACTCTGCAGTTCGAGTAACAGGCAAAGCAACTCTTTGATGCATTTTTACTTCTTTAAGGGATGATGTATTTCCTAATCCTAGACACAGGACAGATTTTGAGAATTTTTATACCTGTCATGGCTTAATTCTAGAAGCAACATAATGCCCCATGGCATTCAGCCCCTTCCCCACCCACTCTCTCTCTCTCTCTCTCTGAGTTGTGTTTAGATGTTTCGAAACATGTAAATTTGATCAACACTATGATGTATTTTAGTTGATCATAATTTTAAGTTTTCAATATGTGTTTCTGCCTGGAGTATAGACAGCAGATATTGTACTCTTATAACTTTAATTGTATTATATTAGGGACTTCAAAGAGCAACAAAGGCATTATGTTGGAGCAGGTTTAAATATGGCTTCAAATTTTCTTTTTGATTGGTTAGCATAAGCATGGGGTTGATTTTTTTTTATGTCAAATTTAATTCTTTGGACATTAGTACTTGAAAACCTCTTCTGCTAAAAATGTCCAATCTAGGGGCTCCTGAATTGGTTATTCAAGTATATCAACTGTTTCTTTCAAGTTAATACAGTAGGTGCCCAACAAGCATCATTTTTTTTTTTGGTACTCTTACCATTAGGTTATGGTTCTTCTAATGGGATCCATACCAAACTATTTGATCAGGTTGAAAATTTGCGAAATGCTGGACTTATCAGTGGAGGGTCAGCAGAAAATGCCATTATTTGCAGGTGAGAGAGAATCTACGTTGTAAATATGCAGACAGTGCCTGATTGCTGATAACCATGATATCTGCACTTCAAATTGTTTGATTGCTTGCTGATAATGGGATATACTTCCGTGCTTGAAAGAGAGACCTGAGTTATTACACATATATGATTTTCTTCATTTTAACTTATTTATCTACTTGCAATAATAGAATGTTTCATTTCTTGGATCCTATGGTCTTCTTCTTCTTCCATTTTTTGCTATATCTGCTTATTTTAGTTTCTTTTGCTTAATCGTTTGGTTTGTTTCATTGCTAATCAGTTTCTTTAATCTTCTTCCTTGTTGATTCCTTTTGGAGCTTTGCCTGCTGTGGCAAGTAGGTTGTGGTACCTAAACAGTAATGAGTGGTCATATTTTTTAATGAACTATTGCTAGTCATAGTTGGCTTACCTGGTTACTGCAGTTTTTGGAGCCATGTTCCATATTAGTCAGTCAAACTGTGTAATTTTTTTTCCTATTAAAGAGGCTATTTTCAGTAACTTTAAATTGAGGATTTTTGGAAACCTTTGTTGGAATTTATTTGGTTTTTTTTTGGTCATTGTTATTATGTTTTATTAAGTAGTTGTGATTTTTTTGCCCTTTTAACTCTTTTAACCAGGGAAGTTGATTTTTCTCCACTCCCTTTTTCTGCCAAAGTCCCTTTCCTTCAGGATATCGACTTCTCTATTTTGTGAAGATGAATAAAATTAGTTATTTATTTTTTGAACTTAGATTGATGAGTGCAATATTGTGGTAAATACTTTGTTGGAGGGTGTTGTTTGTTACTTATTGAAAATGGCTAATTTCTAGGGTGCTTTTAGCTAATGGTTGAGCTTAATCATGTTGGATTCTGACTCCACTTCATCCATTTAGTGCAAGTAGAGGCTGGTTAAATCCACCATTGCGTTTTGATGACGAGCCCTGCAGACACAAGGTGTTAGATCTTATCGGTGATGTATCCCTCCTTGCTGGCTCTGGCAGTCAAGGGCTTCCAGTGGCTCATATATTTGCTTATAAGGTATCCTTTTCCTTCAGATAATAGGTTGCTCACCTTTTATTTATAATTATTATTAGATTACACTCAAAGGCAGTTTTAGGCACCAAACTTTTAAAAAGTTTGAAGATTGTTAAAAAAAGCATTAGGAAAATGTTTGGTCATGGATTGTTGCTTAAGAACATTAATTGTACTGTTTTTCTTTTCCCGAAAATGGAGACAATAGATGAATAAGTCTTCCAGTGTGTAGTAAGTAGGATCTTTCTATGTTCTAGATACTACTATTGTAATTTGGAAGTAATGTGTGATTTGCCTCCAGCTTTTGCCATAAAGGAAGAAAGAGGTTTTTGAAAATGAATTTATATGGTGTAGGATCTGATCTTTGCTGCTGTCATATGTTGTATACACTTATATGCACATTAGAGAGATTCATAAAACTTATTGTTAATGAGGAGACGACAAAATGAGTTCAATAAAATCTAAAGATAAGGCAGAGTAGTGGATTATTGTCACTAAGAAGAAATTTAATTCCTGATAAGCGTACACTGCTATTGATCTGCTGATGAATTTATTGGACGTTTGGTGGCACAGGGTGGACATTCGCTGCATGCTGAGTTTGTTCGACAACTGAAGAGAACAGAGTAAACTATTCTCTGCACTGTGGGTATAGGGGCATCTTGTTCAGGACCAAATGCTTATTGGAAGATCACCCCCATCAAATCCGTTTTGCGAGATAGCAGTATTCTCTTATAGTGGTTTGAGACATGATCTTATGAGTGAAACAAGTAAAGCTGATTTCAGGAAATGGATGAACTTTGTAACATGTATAGTTACAGATGAAGTAGTGTTCGCTTGATTTGTTGCCATCAGATCTTTATTGTTCCAGACTTTTAGACACTTTGTAGAATTTCCATCAATGGAATTCAGCTTATTATTTCATTTCATTTTTAAACGTATTTTTGGACGTGAGCTATGAAAGATGGCAGATGCATGACTATCTGATGAAACCCTCCTGGCACGTCCAACCAAGATAGTAGACTGCTAATTTTCAGAGGATTGATTGTTTGATTAGAAATAAGGACAAACTGAGGGAAAAAAATAAGGTTTGTTCTTTCATTCGACAACTGAAAACTTAAGTTTGCAGCTGAAGCAATTTGGTCTTGACTTGTTTGTAGTCTTTTCAAAGAACGACAAATCATTCAGCTTTGAATAAACCTTGTATCCATGGTGAGGATAATTCTAGCATAATCAAAAACATTAGAATACTCCTGTTTGCAAGTTTTTATAATAGAGGGGACGAGCGAGAAATTTCAACTCTCCCTCCCAAATGCAGAAAAAAAAAAATTGATTGGAATGTGAAGCTTCAGAAGTCATTCCTTTATATAAACTCCCCGTATTTACCACCACGTCATGGAGTGATACTAATGAACAATGTTGACAAATCAACAGCAGAGAAATATTATATTTAATAGAGCGCGAGCTTTTGTTCATAGTTCTTACAAATCATGAATGTTGCAGGTGGTTTTACTTCATTATATAGCCTTTTTCATCTATGCAGATGGAGGACAATGATCCCTCACTCTATTTTACAGCTTTACTAATCCTTTCTCTGGAAATCTTTTGGATGCCTTTGAGCAGGGGAATGACTAGCCCAGCTGCTACAATTGATGGCCAATAGCAGTGTTTTTCATCTCCTAGAAATTCTAGCCTTAGCAAAGAAATCCACAACCTAACAACCCCCAATCCGCCCGTTAATGTTAAAGGATAGATTGGGTCAGTTAGGTTATGAGTTTAGTTGGTTGGGTAAGAACAACCCAACTTATTCATTAAGCGGATTAAATTTTTTATTTGAACACCTAATATCCAACCTGTTTAAATATAGTTCAGAACAATAAATACAAGATTTAATATACATATACCCAACCACTTGCATTTGGACATGTGTTAACAAATTCTCATATATATGTTTTAATCAATTTTTTAAATTTTTTTATTTAAAAAGAAAAAAGAAACTTGAAATAAAAACTCATGCTTATTTTGCTTTACAACAATAATTATACTTGCTCAACTTTTATAATAATTTATTATAACTTTAAGAGTATGCTGTTTTCCTCTCATTTTTTTCTTTTTTTTTTTTGGTTGTTGATCTCCGATTGCTACTTGCTTCTGTTTATTAATATTTTTGTATATCAAGAATAGAGTTTTAAATTTGTTCTAATTGCATTCTTTTACTTTTCTCTAACTTGTTTTATTTCATTATTAATAATAATTCCTTATCAATATTATAATACAACAAATTATATGTCTCTTAATTACCATTTCAAGTATAATATAAGCTAGCATTCAATAATTTAAATACATTGATTATTACAACTTACAATAAAGCATATATGAATAGTAAAAGTGTTAAATAAGTTGTGACAAAAATAAGTTTCAATCAATTAGTAGAATTAAAAAGTATAAAGTAAACAAATTTTTTTAACTAATCTATTTAAATGTACAATTGATTATGTAAAATTCACAATACAAGCAATATAAAAGTGAGTGTTTGTATATTATTCTATTTATACTGTGTTTCCAAGGAGTTTAAGAAGTGAGTGTGTGTTTGTGTGTGTGAAAGTGTGTTAGTGTGTGAAAAACTGAAAATATATCTTACTACTAGAAGGTTTTCGGCTGTGCTAAGCACAGTCTAGGCCCCCTATAATCTGTTGTCATATATTTTTGTATAAGATAAGATTAACAGTAATGTTTGTGAAATAGCATTCTTAAAATCATAAATTACCAATCAAACATGTGGCTAACAAATATAAGACTAAACAAAATCAGAAAACCATCAACATTGCAAAAGATAAGAGAAGATGACAAAAGATTGGCAAGTAGTTTTACAAATAACTTGATATCTTCAAGTGTAAGTTAGTCTTACACAGACGGAAGAAGACATGCTGAATACTTAATATAAAGTGCAATGATAAGCTGCAATTACAAAATATCAAATATTGAGATCCATTAAGTTGCACAAAAGAACAATTTCTTAATGGATGTCAATATTGTGTCAAAAGATGCAAGATTAGCAATTCAACTGTAAAGTGCTTCAAGATTAGCAAGATTAGCAATTCAAAAGGCTTCAAGTAAGTTTAGAGTTCATTATCACACTGCTTCTTCAAGGGACTTCTTGGTGCAAGATTAGTTGGAGCGAAAGCTGAGAGTGCATTGGTGGGCAGTGAAGCAGGTGTAATAGCTTCAGCAGAATTTGATCCAATTTTAGGAGGTACAATTCCAAAAACCAAGGCTCTCTTTGCTGTGGTCACTGGAGGCTGCACTTTGTTTGCAGTAGCAGAAGTTTCAGCGATGGTATCAAGCAGTTTTTTGGTTGATGGACTGAAAAATTAATTTTTGTTATCAGACTGCAGCACAGTAGCATGAAGGTCTGGAATTTTTTCATTCATTTCTGCAGCCGTGATTGCCGTTGGAATGTGAGTTGATTCCTCAGTAGTGTATGCCTTGACAATATTATACTTGTCTTCCTTCTAGCCTTGATAATCTGCCTCATAGTAGCGGATGAAACATACAATCGAATGTTTTCCGATTGCAGATGCTAGTTCAACAGAAAAGTTAAGCTCCTGCAATTTTTTTGTTTTAAAGTATAAATAATTATCAAGTGTATCCTGGAATATTAGCTATTTGTTTGGAAGTAGAAGTTCTTATTGTATATTTTGCTCCTATACACTCTGCTGATATATATGAGTAGATCTATACAATATGCCAATATATATATGAGCTCTTTGTCTGTTTTAATAACATTTGACCACTACTAACTTCGTCAAAGAGACCATCTATTAAATTTGAGTGTTGGTTTATCTTTCTTTTTCGCATTCCATAGCATAGCACAGAGGTCTGACTAATGATTAACTAACACAATAGCAACTAAAAGTGCATATACATAGTCAGTTTTAACCCGAGCCAAACATGTCATGTATAGATACCAAGATAATAACCAAGAACTCAAGCACATACAATAAACAAAACTTACTATCAGATTTTATGGAGAAGAACATATTTTATGTTTCTTAATGGTTATTAATGTTAATAAAGGTAAAACTTTCCAACAGAAAACATGCGGCCTCTAATTTAATCAGTAACATAACAGTTTCAAAACTCTAAATACATAAAAAAAAAGTGCAAATCAAAAGCATAAAGCTTAAATTTGATATTGAGTTTTTTAGACAAACCTCATAGCAACGTATGCAGACTTGCAAGAACAAAGCACAAATAGCCTACAACAGAGGCAACTTCAATTTAAATGAAAATTTTGGTTTTGCAATTAAAACAAAAAAAAAAAGAATAAAATTCAATGCAGATAAGGGGGAAAAGTTCAAAATTTAAAAAAAATATTAATAAATCAATATAAATAAGCAAGAGAGAAAAGATAATTTATTGTTTTTTATCAGGTGAAAGATGAAAAAAAAAAGATAGAAAAAAAATAAACCATACCACGTGGGGAAAGTGAAGCAACAAGAGCAAAACACCAATTGTTTTTTTTTTCTTATCTTTCTTAAACCAAATAAATGATCATGATTACTTGTGAAAAAGGCTTAAAGGAAGCATCAAATCTATCAATGATCTCTAGGTTGATCAATGGTTTAAAATTGAGAAGGTACAATAAAGGTTAGAGAAAGATGGTGTTTTCTCTAAAAGCTTTTCATGCCCTAGACAAGTCTAGACTCAACGAAACAGAAAACAAGGCACACACTAAGTTGCTTAATCAATAGTCACTTAGATGACTAAACAAGTTTTGCCAATAACAGCCTTTCTGCATTGACCTTAAAGTTCTCTGAAAAATAGTTAATCACTCCTATTTCTCATTTAGAACAACAACAGGTCACATATCTCATATGAGATATTATAACTATAATTCATTCTAAGAAAAACTATCTTAGGTTCAGTACAACTTCTTATTTTTATGTGTTACCAAATTGTCCATTGTGATTAAAGAGAAAAGCACTAGTAGCAGGAGGTTGAAATTAGTTAAAAAGGAACTTGTCATGTAATAATAACTTTAGCATAGCAGCCACAACCCCAAAAACAGCACAAGCAAAAGTTTGTCTCACAAAATATATTGTGCTAATGACTTTGGCTCACAAAATCTGTTATTGATGTCCATTACTACAATTTTTTTTCTAGTGTATATAGCAATTTGACTGTTTGATAGTACATTGATTATATACAAACCAGTAGGACAGCTCAATTGGCCAGAATCACATCAGCAAATGGATCTCTCTTTTTTGTAGGTATTCCACTAATAATATATATATATATATATATATATATATATATATATATATATATATTCAAGAATTCACCAAATTTCAAAATAAGGATTATTGAACTGGGAGCTGGATTCGTATCTTCATTTTTGGCTTGTTTTTTCAGGTGAATGGGTTGCAGCAGCACAATTGGATTGAGAAAATATTAACACAATCACCTACTCAAATAAACTACCATTTGTTTCACAAAGGATCACACAAAACAAATAGCACCAGCAAACTGAAAATAAATGAAGCAGAAACTGAAGAAAAACTACTAAAAAAAATAGGGAACGGTGAAATTTCACTTTTGAAAATATAGTCACATAAATGAAGAAAAGCAGCTCATAGATTCAAGAAAGACAACAAGCTGACCTTCAAGTTAAAGGATTCCTTGACTGATGATATGAACTACAGCAGAAGGAACCTATCAATTGAAGCATATGTGTATATTAGAATTTATTAATCTGTCTATTACTCATACGGGGAAAATTTGACAAAAAATAGGGAAAGACTTTTTCTCACCAAAGAGACCCCAAAGAGAAAGTGTAAAGATCAAGATGCTTCTTCTTGCAGTTTATAAGACAGAGGAGCCAACACCATGCACTAATAAATACCTCTATTCCATTTTTTGATTTTGTAATTCACT